AAGCAAATAAAATAAATCACAGGAACATTATTTGTAAATGAAGAAAGCTCAATATATAGCGTATTCTTAACTATAGATTTACGAATGTATTTACGATTATAAAAAGAAAGAATTCAGGAGTGTATTTGTGTATGAGGGTTTCGTAGAGGTGTGGATAGAAGTGTTTTTGGAGTAGTGGGGAGTGGGAAAGGGGGGGGGGGGGGAGGGGGGTTTAGGAATAGACAGAGGCTGCATGAGACAACAATGTTTTTGTATGATTCAGTTTAGTTTTGAGATGGAATTTCACACGTCTTTAGTTATCATTTAGACGCACTTATTATAATTATTAGCACTTATTATAATTATTATGATTCACAAATACTTATCTAGCAATCAATTTGCAACAATACTGATGCGTTAAAAACGCTATAATATGTAGTTTTTTTTAAGATTAAAAGAAAAAACAACAGCACCTAACAACAAAGTTCCTAGCTGGTAAAATAAGCTGACATATGTCGCTAGAGGGTTGACGTTAACTAACGTTACATTACGTTTACTTACGTTATGGGAATAGTCATAAAGGTGGTCCGCAAGTTATTGTCAGAATGTACTATCATATAAATGTCCACAGCGTGACTTAATGCAGTGTGATAAGTATGTAATGTAACAAGCATATACAACATACGTACATGTTTAAAGTTCCTTAAATTTCTCTTCAGTTGATATGAAGAGCAGATAAAAAACAATATCATACATGTATGCAATCATTTTAAAACAGTGAGAAGGAATAATAATAATAATAATAATAATGATAATAAATATAATAATAATAATAATGATAATAATAATGATGATGATGATGATGATGATGATGATGATGATGATGATGATGATGATTATAGAAACACGTGATGTTGATGTCTTATACAAGTTAATGGGTGACGGAGGCGAATAAGTAAATCGCACGTGCACATTGTTATGATGAAAAAGAAGCGGTCAGAAGAAATACAAAAAATCACTGCAAATTTCGGAAATTTCATTCAGTATACAGTAAACATGAATTAAAATGCGATTTTTCTCTCTCCCCCACCCCTGTCTCTCTCTCTTGAGAATTATATTGTATGATAAATAGTATAATATAAACTTTATCATGAAAGAATATGATCTCAAAAATTTATTTCGATATTGCACTCATTATATGGCAACAATACCAAACTAGGTTAATCAAAACAGTAAAACCTGTTAAATATATCAATCAAAGGAAAACAAATAAGCATACGTACCTCGGATGATATTAATTAGATAGCATAATTAATTTTCTATGCAGAAAGTCCGTAAAGTAAGTCTCATTTTATACAAGATTCCGTTGCCCTGTATTTAATCTGTATTAATAAATGATCGATCTTTAAAAACGCGTCTTAATCCACTCTTTCCACTCCTTTATTAGCTAAACTCTACATGCGTTCAATTAATTGCGCACGCTGGTTATGAAAATGCATAAATATAGGTTTTCACGACAGCGCGACACCGTATTTCGCTATATTGATTTATTCAATATAAGACGGTAGATGTTTTTACGGAAACACCCGAGTGGTTACGGAGTTCCAGCCGATCAATGAGAATAGGTGTATCGATTAACCGACCTGGCTTAAAGAGAGGATTTTAAATTCCCTTGATACGTATTTTCTTTCTATAATTTATTAGGCAATTTACATATTACATATAGCGTATACTCTTAAAAGTATTGTTTATTCGGAGTGCTTTGTACTTAACTCGACTTCACAATACGAGATAAATTTACGTTCCAACGATTTAAATGATTTGATTTATTGGGTCCTTAGTATTTATCTGTTATTTGTAGTGTCTACGGTGAGATAACAAAAACACCAACTAACGTATTATTTTGCATCCGGACAGGGAAAAAAATGTTTTCTAAAAAATGACGACAAAAGATTTTTTGCCGATATCTTAGGCTTTTGTAATATAGTATTATATAAGAGGAGTGATTATTATTTCAGTGGTAAGTATATGGCTTGCTATGTGGAACTATAGTCGGTTTTCTTATTAGACTTAGAAGGCCAATTTAACCCCTCATTTTAAGTTATGAATACTTTTTATCTTTGGTTTCTTATTACAGTATAAAAAAAATTGATAAAAATAAATAAAAATAAAAATATATAAATAGATAAATAAATAAATGTAAATGAATGAATAATAAATAAATAAATTAATAAATAAATAAATAAATAATAAATAAAAATAAACAAATAAATAAATAGATAAATAAATAAATAAATAAATAAATAAATAAATAAAAATAATTAAATAAATCAATAAATAATTGAATAAATAATAAATAAATAAATAAATAAATAAATAAATAAATAAATAAATAAATAAATAAATAAATAAATAAATAAATAAATAAATAAATAAATAAATAAAGCGACATGCTTCAATAAAGCCCACATAAAAGGTAAAATCTTTGTCGTATTCTGGCGACCCGCTGAGCGAAAATAGCACAAATCGGCCACCATAGTTTTATAGGTGAATGTATAGAGTTGCACTCGCAATCCGTGAAGTGGAATATGCACGGTTAAAATGTGCTCTATAAGAAGAATTATTTATATGATTTCCATATATCAAGTGATTTTTAAAAGCTGGATCGAGCATTTTGTTATAGTAGTGAAATGTTTTAGTAAATCTTAACGCGACTGGACTCAAGTTGGTGTTGTGGAAATTGAATATAAAAATAAAAATGAAAGGTCTGTGGCCACAATATTCGCGTTCTGTTTTCAATATTTGATAATGTAGAAAAAACTTAAGATAGTTTATTTTACATAATTTACGTGTTGAATTATCGGTAATTGCCTTAGTACCCTTACAAAGTCCGGTATAACACAGATGAAAGAGTTGCTACCTGTTACGCAGGTGCGACCTCACACCGGAAATGACGTACAAATATCATAAAAAATATGAAAATTGTGATAAGTGTTATTGCAATCATAATTCAACCAATCTACTAACAGAATAAACAATTAATGCATATTCCGATACATTTTGAAACAGTCCTGCGGTACGGGTAATGGTACTACGTTTTGCCAGTTATGGAACTGATACCGCATTCCACCCCACCCGTACCACTCGCTTATCCCCATCCCCGACAAGAAAGTCACTTATGGTGCTGATATTGTTTTACTGTCTGAAAAATGTGGTACTATAGTACTGCAGCGCCGAGGTAGAACTTTGATTTTTTTAGTGTGGATATTTAGTGCCCTATCCCAACTTAAATTTAACATGAAATAGCTGTTTGTTTAAGCTCAAGCTTGAATCACATTTTCGAGTCATGCTCGAGGCCATTTTCTGGAACAGACCGGTACTGGCGTCATATGTGAATGCATGGTCGTCACTATTATATATAACGTAGGGTTCAAACTCACGATCCTTGCGTTGAGAGGCAAGCAACTGATTCAGCAGACCATCCGGCTGTTTATTTGACACCTGAAACCAATTCTTAAAGGACCATTATGCCTCAAAAATGCTTTTATTTTCATTTATCAAAAACTTTTTAATTTTGGTGTACTTTTACAGTATCCAAAACGTTACTCATTGGCCAATTACTTGAACTATCTTTTTCATATGTTGCAATTAGTACAGCTATACTGAATGGAAGTCAAAATACTACTTTGTTTACATTTTACTTCTTATTATCTCACATTTATCGCTAGTTCTTTCAAACGACAAGCATCTTACATTCTCTGAAACCATTATTCAAAAAATTATGAAATTCCTGTCGGCCCTTCCTTAAGAAGAAATGTTCCTTTAAAATTTGTTATAAGTGAGTAGGTGTTTGGTGGCATGCGGCATTGAACCCTTGAATCTATGGCAATATCCCTGCAAGACCTTTGAACTCAAAGTACGACGGACCAAATAACCTTTGAAGAACGTTTCAATTCACAGAAAAACAAAACTGTTGAATTTTAAGAATGTTGTGTCACTAAACATAAGTTGATATATAGACTTGATAAGAGATTAATCGTCATATGTTGACGGATCTTTCTTATCTTTTCTTATTCTTTTCTTTTCAACTACCGTAGAATCAGAAAGTTTCGAGAGTTGATGAAATCCAGTAATGTGGATTGTACATGAGTTAAATGTAAGACCTTTACACGTTTTTACGACAGAACAGCATGAACTTCCGGTGCGTACGGATTAACGAAATATATCTTAATAGGAGTATGGTGTTTCAAGAATGAAACACGACTTTCATTTTTACGACATTATTCATCATTCTACAACAGATGTTGTTTTTGTTTGGATGAATAAAAAATTAAAACGTGAAATACCTAGCAAATAAACTTTACACTGTGGTTTAAATAGTGCATGCTTTCTACGCAAGAAAATATAGTCCCTTTTCGAAAAAAATTAAGTTTAAGTTAACACGCGTATTATAGGAATACGATAGCACAGGGGTTACAGGTACACTTATTTCGTGGCCACGTGACCGCCAGAAAATATTCCGTACTCATAGGATAACATCTCGTTTCAATGAGTTAGCAATATACCGTGAGCCACAAGATTTTGTCACTTTCCAACAAATTATCATTTTGTTTCCTCGAAATAACTATCCTGCGGGGACCGATATGAATACAGAAGTACATATTTCACCGGATCTCTTTGTACTGGTAGACCGTCAACATGTTAGCCATAGACAACTACGGTCCCTACTACTCAAATGAAACCAAAGTCCATTGTTACATTATGCCAGCGTTATACATCACCTAAGCGTTACAACAGTCCCCACCCAAGATTGTGCTGGAAATAATCTATGTGTTTCCTTCAATATGTCCCCAATCTGTCCTACATTGCAAAACCCGCCCCCCCCCCCCCCCCCAAACAAAGCGGCGGTTATTTTCATGATTTCTTTTCAGCTTTAGGGTATTTTCCTGTGAATTTTACATCTGGTAAAAAAAAGTTGCGCACGAATACAATTCGTTTTACAGGACCTAGAGTACTAGAGTATAAAAGGCCTCGATTAAATTAAATGTTATAACAAATAACAAAGAAAGGAAGAAAGTAAGACAACGCTGTCTGTGAGAAGGGAATTTAGCATGTATTTATTTCAAAGAACACTTATTGTAAGTAGTATTCATTGTATATGTTAAGTTCATTACGCATTTGATGACATAACGATATACGTCACGGTTTACTTACCGCAAAGCTTAACAGGGAAACTGAAACATGGTTGACCGTTGAAGTGTAAACGATCAGATAGTATTTTGACTTTCATACAAAATACTTATTCACTATAAATATAACAATTACCAACAGCGCAAAAAACACAAAACAAAAGAGAGTTCATGTATGTGGCAAATGAGTAATTTTTGGAAACTGTTTTAATGTACAAAAGTACTAAAATTAAACAGCTTTTGAGAACTGAAAAGCTTAATGTGAAATTTGTCAATATAAATTTGGAGTCATAAAACTTTAAGACTAATTAGGAATTATTTTACTCTGAATAAGGGTTTTTATATTGAGTCTTAATTTGGATTCGTTATTACTAATCAGGAGTTTGAAAAGCCTTATCAGTCGAAATAAAATCCTAATTTGAACTGCGTAGCTATTGATTAGTTTTTCATAAAAAAGTACTTTATTTCTCTTTTAAAAAAATTCTGATTAGCACAGAATTCATAATATGAAATTTCATGTCTCTTAATTAAGACTTAATAATCCAAAATTGTATATAACCCTTATAATTATGTCCCTTATACTTTGAACTCCCTATTTAAAGTAATAAAGTCCTAATTTGTTTTTAGTCCTAATTAGGCTATAATAACTTCTAATTAATAGTTACCATTTCGTGGAACAAATTTGTGTTCGCGGTCCTTATCCGAAGATTGACGGAAATGGCCGAAAGTTGCGATTGTAGTCACATAAAGTTCGCATCTTTTCTTTTTGACACCTTTTTTTAAACAGTTCCTTTATATCTGGATATATATGGAAATATTTGAAAATAGTCTTAGGCGGAGATAAGCAGGTCATGTGAGACATTTATAAAAGCACTGATCTAATTTTTTTTCCGATGTATTTTCCTACCATTTACAGTACCATTTGAAATTGAAATTCTGGCTGTTTATTCTTTTTATTTTGATAGGTCTGTGTTTGTGCATGGATTGTTCGTCAAGGAACATTAGGTAAGACTTCATTGTAAAATTAAGAGATTCACTTCCGACTGTTTGAATTATGTAACCTATGCTCAGTACTCATGTTTTGTTGTTTAAAGACAAATTCAAATATTTATTATTGAAAATCAAAGCAATCAGCTTTTTGTTAAATACTTTATATACTTTTATTAACACAAACTAACAACTGTTATCAGTTGTTATTTTACCTAAAAAAGCAAAACAAGGGAGTAAAATGCACGCTCACGCGTAATGAAATTAAACTCGGGAGTAAATAATAACAGCTTTGTTGTATTGTGTGGTAGCTATTTATGCGAGATAATACAAATAACAAGAAAAACAGAGCAATAAATAAAACTGAAAAGGGTCTTTAAACACTTTTAGGAATAAAATTGTAGAACTGGGCGCTTGAATTCATTTTTTTTTTGCATGATAAGGTTTCATATTTAATATATGCGAAATAATCACAAATCGATTATAATTACAAAAGACCGGTAGGGCCATTTCAACTACACGAATTCCCAATTTCATCTTCATGACTTCACAATTTTAACTTCGTGAATTTCCGTTTTCAAAATACGGAATTCACAAATTCACGATTTCAACTTTAGAATTCCCGATTTCAACTTCATGAATTCACGATGTCAACATCGTTAATGAATTCACGATTTCAACTTCGTGAATGAATTCACGATTTCAACTTCTTGAATTCACGATTTCAACTTCACGATTTCAACTTCATGAATTAAACATCGTAAATTCACGATTTCAACTTCACGAATTCTAACTTCACAAATTCGTGAAGTTGAAATCGGAAATTCATGAAGATGAAATCGGGAATTCATGAAGTTGTAATGTCCCAACCGGTCTTTCGTACGATTACATCTACCAATTGATTTGCAATGTACCACTTGTGTCGAGTCGGAGTTTAACAAATTTCATAATGCTATGTGTTATAGCTTAGAACTGCCTTTTAATCAAACTTGCGTAGAAAACGTTTTGCAGCCGGTTATTTGTGGCTCGTACAGCAGCGTGAGGACAAATGTGCAGACTGTTACTGTTTTGAGTTTAAATCTATTAAAAATAATCAACATAAAAAGCATTTAGTAAATAATTACATAATTACCAAAAATGATAAATTATTATAATATTATGGTTGTAAATAATGTTTTATACGCAGGAGCTGGACAGATTAGCCGGGCTCGGTTAGTGGGAGGAAATAGTAATGGCACCGGCAGGCTTGAACTTGAATATAACGGCGAATGGGTAACGATTTATGGAAGCTATTCATCGTCATATTTCAAAAATATTGACGCAAAAGTCGCGTGCAGGATGCTCGGATTTGGCAATAGGTATAAACATATTTGAGCCGCGTCATGACAAAACCAACATAATGGGTTTGCGACTAGCATGGATCCAGACCAGCCTGCGCATCCGCGCAGTCTGATCAGGATCCATGATGTTCGCTATCAGTTTCTCTACTTGTAATAGGGTGTGTAAGTGAACAGCATGGATCCTGATCAGACTGCGCGGATGCGCAGGCTGGTCTTGATCCATGCTGGTCGCAAACCAATTATGTTGGTTTTGTCGTGACGCGGCTCATTTGTTCTGTATCTGAAACGAAAAGAAAAGACAATGTTACCGGTCTGTGTAGACAATTTTCCTATTAAATTGTTCTGTTAAATACATAGGTGCTCAGTCAAGGTGCAAGAGCTACACATGAAAGAATGTATCTTGAATTCAATCCTTGCTTTCACCAGCAACAAATGGAAGTCGTGCAATGTAAGTCGAAATTTCGAGTAAGTCGAATTTCGAGTTTGTAAGTCGAAATGTCGAGTTAATAAGTCGAAATTTCGAGATAGTTAGTCGAAATTTTGAGTTAATATGTCGAAATTCTGGGTTGGTAAGTCGAAATTTTGAGTTGCGGAAGTCGAAATTTCAAATAAGTTAGTCGAAATTTCGATATGTGACTCGAAATTTCGAGTTAATAAAAACACACATATGACGCTAATGCTCTTCTTTTTATGCTAGTTATTAACGTCAGGTTGTTTAGATTTTTTCGACGCGCAGAATACATTTTAAATGAACAATGCCAACATGTAGTGAAACTAACATTACGTCATTACAGGGGCAAAGACACAATGGCTTTAACACGATTCCTTGGCTCAACTTTTATTTCTAGTGTTAAAAAAGGGAAAAGAATGTACATGTATTATAAGAGGAATATAATAAAAAAGATTAAAATTCACATTTTCAGAGAAATTTGCCTGAATACTAGTTATATGTGAAATAGTTCTTATTACGACATTGTAGATTGTAGAATTTTTAATAACATCTCGGCAAGCATTTTCATCTAAAGGCACATTATGCCTCAGAAACAAATAAATTTTACTTCTTAAGAAAGGGCAAACATGTTTTTTTATAATGTTTATATTATGGTATAATAATTATAATAATTATAAAATGTAAGATGCTGTCTTACCTGAAAACAGTTACGATACTGTTAAAAGACAAAGTAGTATTTTGACTTCCATACACGATACTTAAAATACTTTTTCTTTTCACTATAAGTATATTTATTAAAAAAAAAAAAAAAAAAAAAAGGAACGGATGATTTAGTTCATTGGCAAATATGGTGACAAATATGTAATTTTTTCGATTTTTTTCGATATCATAAAAGTAACGAAAAAACTATTGATAATAAAAAAGCAATTTACAGGCATAAAGGACCTTTCAATACTTATTTAAAATTTTTCACAGCGGAGTTGCCTTTGTTTACACAAATGCACCGGACCTGTTTGGAGAAGGGACAGGGTCAGTACTGAATCACAGGTTTCAATGTAAAGGCAACGAGACGAATTTACGTCAGTGTGACACGAGCTCTTGGAGTGTGTCGCCATCAACGTCGCACACTTATGACGTCGGTATCAGTTGTGAACGTAAGTGTGTTGAAAAAAGAACTGCGGGCAGCAATCGCAACGTTTCGGCACTCTCCGTCAGTCATCGGAAAAGGACTATTTTTTCATTATGAATGATAGCCAAGGAAGGATGTTCCGATTCCTGCGAGCAGTTTATAGTGATTAAATACGGGTCAATGAAAATGAGATATAAATCGTATCAGACATAGTACATGTATATAATATGTTTCGGAAAAAATATAGTTTCTGCATTATGACGGATTAAACAACATAATCATTTAAGTTCCAAGTTTTTATGTTTCATTCGCATGACTCGCACGTGCCCCACTTTTGATATTTGTGACAACAAAAAGATTCTTTTCCGTTAGAAATACAAAAATTAACATATAGATATGTATATACTTTGTAAAAAAAAGACAGAAAAAGATCCTACTCTATTCCAGCAACACAGCTGAGGCTAGCCGATGGAGACACGCCGCAATCAGGTCGAGTGGAAGTCTTTTTCAAGGTAATATCGTATAATTTCTAAAACATTAGGTGTATTGTTAACAGGACAGTAGCTTAGCTATCGGAGAGGGGGTGGGGGGGGGGGGGGGTTCGGGGATGTACCTCAAATGTGCGTTTGACGCATTTTTAATACAATACTTATGTTCGTGTCAATATAATTTTTATATATATAACTGAATTTTCTTTTTCCCCCGTTTCTTTGAAAAAAGTGCAGACCGCCAGCAATTTTGCATTGTTTTCTGAATAACTTTCAGAAATGAACATTAAAAAGGACTATAATTCCTAGAGGTAATCTAAACCACAACATTGGCACAATGAATTTCCATAATCAATCGGTCAGCATAAAAAATTAGCAACTATAATGCCCTCCTGGCATGATATATTCAGTGTCCATTACGACCAAATATTTAAAAGGGAGTTAACCTAAACAAGTAATGTTTATTTAATTCAGTACTAATTGTCTCCCATGGATAGCGAATTTTGTGAACATCGTATCTTTTAATTTTAGGGACAATGGTCATCGATTTGCGATTCGGGTTTTGACAACGAGGACGCACGTGCAATTTGCAATATGTTAGGCTACCATGACACGTGAGTAATACGTCAGAATCAAAGTACTTAAAGTATTATAATAAGCTTGGTTAGTAGAGAATTATAATAATACCAGGATTTCCTGTAGCAAATATTTTCATGTTTAATAAGAAATTTCATTGTAGAAAATGCTTGGAATAGATTACTCGATAAATGATGAAAAAGAAGTCGAGGATATTTGTTTGTGTAAAATGAAATTTTATTTCATCGAATGAGTTTTAAAAAACGGTACCGGTATCGTGTGTTATTCCCACGAGTTGCAACAGGTGTCTTATAAGGAAACAAAGATCATGTCCCGCAAACGGGGCCGGATCAAACCATCTCTAAGCTCTAACGAAGACACCTTAACCACTGTGCTATTGCCGGTGCTTTACTTTTCAGAGGCATTGCGAAAGCATTTACGGGATCTCACTTTGGCCAGGGCGCAGGGGACATGATTCTGTCTTCAGTAAATTGTAAAGGGACAGAAACTGATATCAAAATGTGCGCTGCGACATGGGGGAAGAATAACTGTAATCATCGAAAAGATGCGGGCGTAAATTGTGATAGTAAGCAGTTTAAATTTTCTTATGAATTTCCGGCAAAGTTCGTCACTTTCCGTGACCCTGCCTTGATATGATGATATAAACGTCTTAAGGTGACTTTAGATATAAAAACTATCGTTACCTTCGTTTTGAGCCAATGTTTTAATATCTAAACAACAACAAGAAAAAAAAAAACAACTTATTAAATACACTACCGCTACCAAGGTTTAAAAAAACAAATCTCATGAATTTCCGGAAATGTTTCCTTGACTTATAATATACGAGGGCTGTTCAATAATTACGCGGAAAAGTGTCGCTATTTCCTTATTTTCTAAGTTAGCTGAATAAAACTTATACAGTAATAGAGACAAACATATTTGAAAATATACAGCAAATATTGACGTTCTGGCATGAATCATATGTTAACAAACGGTCGTTATGGTAACCACATGTAGCGATTACCGGCCCACTTTTGTTCATTTTTACAAATAGTCACTGGTTAATAATGACGTCGCATTTTAACGTTTACCGTGCGATTTTCACCAAACTTTGCATAATTTACGCGCAATATGTTGGCGTTACGCACATGATGTCATGTTAGTGTGTGTCGTCATATAGGCGTTCAGCGGCCATATTGTTTAGTGCGTATGCGTATGGCATCGGAACAACGATCTTCAATAAAATTTTGTGTTTTGAACGGGTTTACAAAGAATGAACCAATGTTAAGATTACAAAAATCATATGGTGATCAGGCGATGAAGAAAACAGCAATGTACAAGTGTTATGCCCGATTTCTAGGCGGCCAACAAAGCATCCATGACGACAAACGCAGGTGACGTCCCAACGTAACGTCAAATCACGTCGCTGTGATAAAGGAGCTGATTGACAAAGATCGTCGCGAAATACACGAAAGATCGGATTGTAGCATTGGCACAGTGCATCGCATTATTCACGATCAACTCAATATGAGACGCCTGTGTGCCAGGTGGATTCCTAAAATGTTGACGGACGAACAAAAAGCGATTTCTTTCTGTTCCTGACACTGAAGAACGTCCTGCGGGGAGAACACTTTGATGATGTGGACGAGTTGTCCTACGCGGTGCAAGGTGCAATTTCAGAGATAAATAATGGCTCCTACTTCAATAGTTTAATGTCATGGATCAACCGTTGTAAAAAGTGTGTATCCTTTCACGGAGAGTATTTCGAGAAGGAATAGGTGCGTGTTTTAAGTGACTCTCATACATGCGTTGAGCGTGACGTCGTTACGACGCTGGGCCGGTTTCACTGCGATTACCTTAGAAATACTTGAAATTGTACTAATATTTTTTTCCGATTTTATTGAAATTTTGTGTACATATTTATTATATGTTTATTTACAAAATGTAAAGAGAACATCAATTTCCCATGAATATTAAAAAAATCGCAGCACTTTTCCGCGTATTTATTGAACAGCCCTCGTATATATATAATTATGCAGGATTAATATAACAAATCGCTCTCGAATAAATTTACGCTGATATGACACTGGTGGCTGATTTGGAACACTTTTGTGTGTCTAGTGACGCTAGCGATAGCACGACAAAGCGCCAAAACGGCGCGTTGTTGGATTTTTGATTTGTCGTCCATTCGCTGACGATGCACGCCAAATGGCGCGTTTGTCGCGATGTCACATTATCGCTCGGCTCAAACCGAAGGACTGGCTATTTGTATATATATCAGTTAAACTACGGTGGCATAGAGGTGACATTGGCCGTATTTTTTTTTTATCTCGTGGCCCCGACTTATTATCTTGAGGACTCAAGATGCTATCTTGAGTCCTCAAGATATTGCCTCGTGGCTATACAACTTATTAATTTGTAGCCACGACTTATTACCTTGTGACGTCAAGATATTATCTCGTGGCCACAACTTATTATAACCAATAAAACAAGTAGTTCTATCCTAAACACAATTTAATAACACACTCTCCATAGCTTGTGCAGAAGTGGTTGGTCAAATGCTACGGCAGTGTTGCATTAGACACAGAAGCAGTGGGAAAATACGGCTATGGTAGTCACCTATGAGAATAAACACATTTTGTTACCTTTTATTACCCTAGTGTTCTGACTATGCTCTCTCATTTAAACAGGCACGCCCATAAGACTTGTAAATGGACCAACAAATAGTTCTGGTCGCGTAGAAATACTTCATGGAGGGCAATGGGGAACTATTTGCGGAGACAGTAATTTTGACAAGTATGATGTGACGGTAATTTGTAAAATGTTGGGAATATATAGTCCGTAAGTACGAATAATCATATATAACATATTTACTGTTCTTGTCATTTCTAATAAAAATCTGGGAGAAGGGTGATCCTTCGGAAGCATTCATCACAACAAAATTACATGAAAATGACATACTTGGTCTGATTGAGTCTGTACATGAGGAATAATGAACAAGTGCAACATTCCATGCGCCCCCCCCCCTAGCACCGGCTTGAGCGGTACTCAATTTTCAACACTTAAAAGTATAGAAAGTAAAAAATGTCAAATATGTGTTCAAAAATGTTATAATAATGGATCTAGTTAATTTCATTGTACTACTACTACTACTGCTACTACTGCTACTGCTACTGCTACTACTACTACTACTACTACTACTACTACTACTACTACTACTACTACTACTACTACTACTACTACTACTACCATTACCACTACCACTACCTCTACTACTACTACTACTACTAATAATAATAATAATAATTATAAAGAAATGATAATAATAATAATAGAAGAATAAAAGAAGAAGAAGAAGAAAGATGTTGATGATTATGATGTTGTTATTGATGGTGTTGATTAAAATGATGACGATGATGATAATGATGAAAATAGGGTTATCTTTATGGTTGATGTCGTTGTAGAAGATGATGTTGTTGTTGATGATGATGATATGATAATGATGATGATGATGATCATTATAATTATCATCATAATCATAATATAGTAATCTAAAAAACGTATATTATGAAACAGTTATTTTCTTTGGTATCATCTCAATATAACATGCACAATAACAAAGACTTGTTCTTGTTTTTGTAATCTTAACAAAAAAGACCCAACGTTTCTTTCAGAAATGCGTTTGGTCATCGCAACGCATTCTACGGTGAAGGGAACGGAAATGTGATCGTATCAAGCTTGAATTGTGATGGTTCCGAGTCAGATATTGCCTCGTGTCAATCATACGCATGGTCAGTGCCCGGATCGAGTTCTAGCTCGTGCAGTCATTCAAATGACGTAGGAGTAAACTGTGACGGAGGTAACGATTTTTAAATAGCGATTTAACTTGCGAAAAACTTTTTTAATGGGTTGCTATACTAGCAGTGTAACCCGTGGGGTCGGTATTGGTAGTTTTCACTCCTGATTACGACAGCAAGCCACATTGAATTCACCAGAGCACAGTTCAAACACCGCGTCGTTCCAGGGCAGGCTGTCAGAGAGTTCACCAGTATTAGTTGCCTTCACTTTCGCAAGGAACTGAAGCTTCTGTACATGCCAGAGCACAGGTACAGTTCGAATGACAGTAAAAAGGATTTCATGATAAATCATAATTTTTATTTCTCAAAAGCTTTTTAAATTTGGAGTACATGTACTTTTAAAGTACCAATAAAATTAACCATTGGTCAATTACTGGAAACTTCTTCTTCATTTGTTGTTTTTGGCAGTTAGTACACGTATAGTGAAGAAGTATTCTGTATGGCAGTCAAAATTCTTCTTTGTTTACATTTTGGTTTCTTTTATGACCATTTATTTCACATTTATCGCTACTTTTTTCAGGTATATATAACAAACATCTATAATTTCTCTAAAACCATTATTTAAACATTATGAAAATCATGTTTGCCCCCTCTAAAGAAGTAAAAAATCTATTTGTTTCTGATGACAATGTGCCTTTAAGGTCACTAAGAACATAAGGTCAACCCATCTTATATGCTTAATGTATAAACCACGGTTATATACTTATATACCATTGACGATGGCCCTAACGGAACGCCATACATGTACGTCATTTCCGGTTACAGTTACTGGAATTCGGCTTATGGATGGCACGTCAGAACAATCTGGGAGGGTTGAGATCTTCCACAATGGACACTGGGGAACAATTTCGGACAATTATTTTGATAACCACGATCTCACCGTCATCTGCAGAATGATGGGTTATGAATATTCGTGAGTAACTACTAATAAAACAGTCGTATTCATATTCATGAGTTATCATTAATAAAACAGACGTATGAATATTTATGAGTTATTGTTAATAAAACAGTGGGGTGAATATTCATGAGTTATTTTTAGTAAAACAGTAATATGAATAGTCATGAGTAATTGAGTAATTATAAATAAAACAGTTGTATGAATCTTCATGAGTAATTATCAATAAAACAGTGGTATGAATATTTATGAGTAATTAAGTAATTATTAATACAGCAGTCGTGTGAATATTCATGAGGAATCATTTATAAAACAGTTGTATGGATATTCATGAATAACTATTAATAAAACAGTCGTTTTCATGAATATGTTAATCGTGTTGTTGCTTGCGTCAATGGTGATGATAATGATGAAAATGATGATGTAGGAGGGGAGGGCGATGACGACGACGATGATGATATTTATAATGATAATTGTGATACTAATGCTGCTGCTGCTGCTGATGATGCTGTTGTTGTTGTAATGTTGAAGAGGATGATGATGATGTTGTTGTTGTTGTTGTTGTTAATGTTGTTGTTGTTGTTAATGTTGATGATGGTGTTGTTGTTGTTAATGTTGTTGACGAAGATAATGATGTTTTTGTTGTTGTTGTTATTAATGTTGATGATGTTGTTGTTGTTGATGATGATGTTAATGTTGTTGATGATGATGATGATGTTGATGATGATGACAATGTTGATGATGATGATGTTGTTGTTAATGATGATGATGATGTAGGCGAAGCAGGATGATGATGACATTGATGATAATACTTAAGTGATTATGATAATGTCCCGTGATGAAAAGATAATAATGATTGTGATAATGATTATGATGATTTTATTATCAACTATGATATAAATATGAATTTTAATAATATATGTACATGTATTAAACATTTAACGTTACAACAAACTAATATTATGCGTATACATGTATATACATGTATATATCTATATATTTGTCTTGAAGATAGCACTAATACTGCCGTGTTTTCAGTTTTCTTTTCAATTTCTTTTGAAGGTCAAAGTCCTTCTTCATGAAAGGAGGTCACTATGGAAACGGAATTGGAGAAATCGTTGCAACCCGGCTACAGTGTAACGGAGCCGAAAGCGATATTGGCCAATGTTCGGCAACTTGGTGGCCGCAAACTAAAACTGAATCGCACACGAATGATGTTGGAGTGAACTGTGACGGAGGTATGCCGAAAATATTGTGTATGAAGTATAAGTTTGATATAGTATGGCCTGTCATAAAAGCTGCAAAGATATATTTTGGGTATTTTCTTATGTAATAGCGTAGGAACAAAAACACAGGACCATTAACGGATCCAGGGAAGGGCTTAAGAAACCCTTCTAAGATTTGGATACTAACTTACGATTTTTTAAGCAAAAATCACAAGTAAGTGAAGATAAGCAAAAGTTTGACTCGAAACCCGTCTGGAAAATGAAAAAAGGAGTATGCATGATCATTTGTCGGCATTATGCAATCCCTCTGGTAAAAAAAAACATCCTGGATCAACACCTGAGCACGTACGCATCTGAGTTCCATTATCGGTGAAGAACCGACCCATATCTTTCCGGCTTGTAAATGCACATTTTCCTCGTAAACATTTTTTAATTAAGATTAAATGATATTATTTTACAGTGATTCCTATTAAACTCCTCGAGGGAGATAATAAAACAACAGGCAGGGTAGAAATTCTTCATAACGGGAAATACGGAACAATATGTAGCCGGTCATTCAATCGCCTGGATCTGACAGTGGTGTGCCGAATGATGGGCATAGAAAATATACCGTACGTGCTTCGTCTTTCTTTGACATCAGTTCTGTTATGTTTCAGTCCCAAAAATTCATTGAAAAATAAAACCTCATAATATCCATAAATTCTCCAAAACTGTTTTAGAAAATTGAAATCAACATCCTATTTAACGTCATTATCAATCGGAAAGTCCTCGGCTATTATCTATAACAACCTTGTTCAAAGGCTGACGGAAAAGGGCCGAAAAGTTGCGATTGTGTCATTATGTCGCAAAATGATACATTATAGTATTTTTCCACTTAATGACACCATTTTTTTGAATTTCAAAACTGGCGTTTTTTTTCTTTAATGAAAATGGCAGAAACAAATGGTAGACCCAAAACGAATAGGCACAAGAGACATTATAGGCATTGTTCACAGTTTGCGTATCAACATAGAATTTACCTCATGAAATAAATGGATCATGCAAGTTTATGTAGGAATAAGCGGTAACTCATGACAAACCGTTTATCTTTCCTAAGGTTGTATTTTTCCCAAAGAAAACCAACGCTTCATTGACTTTCTTGGTCATCATGGTGTCATGGACGCCTGATCTTAATGAGCAATATCCTAGCAGTGATCTCCCCTTCATTATTCGGTTCAATAGTATGTACTGCAATGTAATATCAAGGGAAGTAACTCTTCTGGCCACGGACAGTCTGCTCGTTTAAAAGTTACAAAATACATGAGCAGGAAAGGAATGTCTTAGCTTATTCAAATGGCGTATGACAGACTTTCGTAATAACCATTGATTCTGTTTTGTAGACAAGACGCTTACTGGTACCCGGCTGCAACCTATGCCCAAGGTCTTGGTGAAATAGTGGTGTCCGACCTTAACTGTAACGGGATCGAGCACAGTGTTGGACAGTGTAGAGGCACCTGGCCGGCTTACAGCAGCTGCGACCACAGCATGGATGTCTTTGTCAGCTGCAATGGTGGTAGGTAGACATTTATGCCATAAATTGTAATACTCTTTTATTTTTTTTTTTATTTTCAAATATGACTTGTCAATGATGTTTTGCTTTGGGTTTGGTGTCTGTTTGTAACAGTCATTGTTTCAAATACTTTATATATCAACGCTCAGTTATTATACGGGTCCATATTGTTTCTGTATCAAAAGTGACCGTTTGGTTGAATTTAAGAAAACAACGACAACAACAGTTGAAAAAAACACCACTTTTGTAACACTCCGGGTATATGTTCTACATTTAATATGTAATCTCGCGAATTCTCACCCGGTACCATTCTCAGCGAGATTCCAACATGTATAATCAAATTCCACACGTTATCGTAGCCAGTTTTACAATACATACTTTGGATTTCCCTTAAACACTTTTCTTTGGAAACTTTATTAGTTTACACACGGATTTATATTACATCCGTGGTTTACATTACATATTACATTATATTCATACTGTTTAGTATTATTTATAAATTGTCATTCTTACGCAGCACCGGAAAAGCTCCGCCTGGTGAACGGAAAGAACAGTTACACCGGAAGAGTTGAGATTTTCCACGCCGGTCAGTGGGGTACAATATGTGATGATAGTTTTGACAGGGCGGACGCTGTTGTAATTTGCAGAATATTAAAGTTTAAGAACCCGTGAGTATATGCAATTCACTAACTTGAGTTTAACATGAAATTAGACAAAGCCTATGAACGGTGAAGTCGGTTAAAAATCGTTCATTTTTCCGTTTTAAAAGAGTCATTCACTCGGAACACTCGACGATTATTATTAATCCAAAAGGTTGCGACTTTCCGCTATCGGAAAACATTGAAAATGGCGGCACCCAACTTGAACTGTCACGAAAATTTCATAGATAGGTATAGAATTCTATACATTATTTAATTGTGTTTTTTATTTGATTGCTTTTTAAATATACACGTATAGTCTATAGCAAGGCAAGCCAAAGCCCGTCCCGGTCTTTGACTTCCCCGTATTATTAGAACGAAATAGCCCAAGTCACAGTATAAAATTTGTTTAAATGTAAGACAAATTTGTTATACTTTGACAGTTTTTGGTGTCAACTAAACTGTAGTTTTATCTTTAGAAATTTTATTCGTGATTAAATGAGTATGTTTACTATAGAAAGTTCCAGTTTGCTTCAATTTGAATTTAAAGTAAAATCTGATCTGATTTCATTACTTTCATAAGCTTGACTCTCTGTAATCTTTCTTGGACTGTCTGTTATGAAGCCTTTTAGACTGAAACCTTTATTTGACTGTCTGTTATAAGGATTTTTAGACTGTAAATTTGTTGCACTGTCTGTTTTGAAGCTTTTAAGAGTGTAATCTATACTGGACTGTCTTTTATGAAGGTTTTATAGACTGTAGTCTTTCTTGGAATGCAGTTTGTAAATTATTTTCTTTGATAACTTTACATTATTGACATTTAAAAAAAAAACATGAAAATTAGCACGAATTATGGGGAGTGCTGCTTTAAAGTACCATGTATTATTTTGGAACTTTTATTGTCAATAGGGAAAGAGCAGTAGCCTATTCACAAGCACATTTTGGGCAAGGTAATCAAACCACTCATATAGTTGCCTCTCACCTGCACTGTAATGGGTTGGAGACCAATTTAGGTCAGTGTACTCCATCATGGAACCCTACGGGTTGCGGACACAACGAAGATATCGGCGTTGACTGCTGTCGTAAGTATATAATCTTTAAATATAAATTTTACATGAGTTGATAAGATTGGTGATGTGAAAACCGTTTTCAGGATAATATACGTCAAATATACATGTACTTTGTTATTTTTTCAATGCATTTTCGCGACATTGCAATCTTGCCAATTCGTAATCTTTTTTCCATTTTGTATCATAACCAATTATGTTGAAAAATGGCGCTTTGACTGATACTGAGTCGTGGTTGACAATGTAATCCTTGCAGAGTTATTGCTGCCCCCGCCCACCCCTAATGGTCCGGTTTATAAGGAGGGGGGGGGGGGTAGTCAAGGAGGGTGCTTTTAATAGTGCGGAATTTTGTTATCAGCTTAAGTCTATGATAAAATTTTTAGGGTTTTCATCAAAATGTCTGTAAGAATTGTAGATTTAAGTTGAGCGATTATTGTAACATAAGCTTTTCTTAACACTTTTTGTTGTATTTTTTCTAAAAACTTATTTTAAAGTGAATATACATGACGTGTATCTTTTCAATGTATTAATCATATTTTTTTTATTTACTTTCAGCCGGTTGCCAAGATATTATTATAGGATAGTGAGGTGCTTTTCCAGTCGTTCGTTCATCCGTCTGTCTGTGACATGAATATTTTAATGTATAAATATGACTTTCTAGAATTCATTGTTGTTTGTTTATATTCTGTTTTTTTTTGCAATTTTAGCATCTTGTATTTTTCTGTTCATTTACTTTACATATAGATCTATATGTACATGCGTTCACTCTTATCATTAAGTAAAGACAATTTAATTGATAATGTTACTTTCATCAAAGTGCACCTAGCACTTTCACTCACTTTACAGTCTGTAACCATGGTTTTAAGAACCCAATTTTCAGTATTTTCATGGGAAAGTCCTTCTCTCCTACATTGGCATCCACAAATTTGGCGCCAAATTTTACAGCGCCCTCTACAGTTACGTCAGGCTGAAAAAAGGCAACATTTTTTCTCATTGTCATAAGCAGCAAATTTAATCAATAGTTCTCGAACGCTTATGCTATCGAAAATAGCTATATTTTCTGTACTTGAATTTTGTATACCTTGTCTATATAAAATTATAAATATAACAAAAGAGCAGATTTTTTCTTTAAATGATACATGTATTTGGATATTATACTGCATGAAAAACAATAGTGTATAATTATAGCATGATAAAGTCACTTCATAGAAGTGAAACACTTACCCCTTGTGTTAAAGATCCTGTATTTTGTAATTAAGGATATAACAACATTAAAGTTTAATTTTATATATGTATATAATTACTCTTCAAAAATAATTTCCATACATCCAGAACTATGTTAAAATGTACTACTAATGTAAGTAATCTTTGAAATACATGTATATGCATTCATTATTTATTGAAAATGTGGCTTAGACTTAAACGAAAATAAATTTCTAATTACCTCCCTTTATTTAAATGAAATGTAAATTCGGTATTACCTTTACAAATAATGCTTTTTGGAACTTACAAAATTTATAAATCTTTTAACTTCTTTAGTAATGTAAAATATGTGTTAATTAATATTTTAATAATCGATTTAGAGTATTTGTGGCGGAAGTAGCACTGAACGTGCAGTAATGTGTCGTAAAAAGGTAGAAAAATGTAAAAAAAGCATTGTGATTCCATAAAAAAATATTTATTAAATTAAAAAAAATCCCACAAAGAAAAAAGGGAAAAATAGTTCATCAATGGAAAATTATATTTTTTTAAAAATCTAAAAATATTAAATTGAAATTTTTTGTGAAATAAAAAAGAAATTTCTGATGCTAGTGTCATTTTAAAAAATGGAAAAAAAAATGGCTGATAATTTACTTTTTACCCCTTTAAAAAATTTTATTCCTAAGGAAATATTTTTTGATTTGGATTGCACTGTTTCAAGACATTAAAAAAAAAATTTTTTAGAAAAATTTTAAAAACTCTTTTAGTTTAAGATCTAATATATATAAAATAAAGTATTAAAACCCAATTTCAATAAAAGCATATTTTTCTTTTTATATGAATTAGGAATAAAATAATCCAAATAAGTTAATTTTTGTTTTAAAAATTTTTAATATACATATTTTAAAAGGAAAGTTTTGAGTGGTTATTAAAATAAAAATTATACGTACTGTAATATTTTAAACTCGTCCCCAGTTAAGTTTAAAAAATCAAAAATAAGATTATAGAATCTGGATATGAGAATGATATTTAAAAAGTATATTCAGACTTTTTTTAATGTTATTCTTGTTTAACATTTGTCTTTTCTTCTTCTCCTTTTGTTTTTTTCTCCCTTTCCCCGCGAATTAACTGCTTTTATTACCCTCTTTTTTTTGGAGTTCTAGAAAATCTATAAATCATTGGTTTTATTTCGCGCACGTATCAGACGCTTGCTATGGTTGAGAAAGTCTTTGGCTTGAGAAATTTTAAGCGTTTTCGTCCATCATCGGATCCCGAGGCCTAATTTAAATGTACATGGGAAACTTCTTAATGAAAAATATTTTCATATTTAAGTTGATAAATTTAAAATAAGGGAAAAAAATGGGCCAAAAATAACATTTTTTTAAAATATTTTTTATAATTAAAAAAAGGGCGACAAATGATAAAGAAATAACGATATCGCCCTTTCCTTTTGTTTTCTTTTTCCATTGAATGGTAATACCATTTCCAAAGACTCGATTACAAAAAAAGTTTGATGTCTTTAAATGAAGAAGAAAAAAGATGAAAAAAAATTAAACCTTTGACGGAAAATTCCTATAACTAAAAATTAAAAATGTATTTAAAAAAAATAAAAAAGATAAATTAAAAAATAAAAAAAAATAAATTAAAATTTAATAATAATTATAATAAAAAATAAAAAAATAAAAATTTTAACAAAAGTAAATATTAATGTATAAAAAATAAATTTATAAATAAATAAAAATAAGTTCGAATTAAAAATTATAAAACCTTTAAATCAAATTCCATCAGCTGGACAAATTTCTTTGCGACAGGTTTATGTGTACTTGAAGGTATTTTGCAAAACTTTTTAAAAACCCGGCACACCAAAAGAGTGTGGGGATGTCTAAAAAAAAGAAATAATCCCTAAGATATGTGGGAGTCCACGAAAATAAAGAAAAAAAAAACCTAAAAAGTACTGGGGAACGTTCTTGAAAATAAAGAAACAAACAGTAACATTGCTGGGACGTCTCATAAAGAAATAATAAAAACACGTAACATAGTGATGGGGGAGTCTCACGGAAAAAAAGACAATAAACACGTGAAATAGGGTGGGGGCGTCTCCTGAAAGAAAAGACAAAAATACGTTGACATAAAAACGGGGGGTTCAAATGAAAATAAAAAAATTAAATCATTAATATAGGCTGGGGGCTTTAGAAAAAATAAAGACAATAAATCACGTTGACATAAAGCTGGGGGAATCTCACTGAAAGATAAGAACATTAAATCACTTTAATATAGCGCTAGGGGACGTCTTACCGAAAGATAAAGACAATAAATCACGTGAACAGAGTGCTCGTTTGAAGAAACAATACCCGGTGCTTTTGAGTCCTTCACAAACCATATGGCATTTCAACGTTGTTTAATCCAAATAATACTATTGGTGTCTGAACTTAAGTTCACGAATAATGAGCTTGGCATATGGTTAATTAAAATTTTTAGACTAGATACATTTCATGAAATAGGAAAGAAATTATACATACATGAGTATTCTTTGTGTAGCAGACGACGTCCGTTCAAGGTGAAGGTTATTTCAAAACCGTGACATCTCTGTAAATAACGTACCTCTAGACAAGCTGAAATACGTTTATACACATTTATATACATTTGTACACTTTTATACAAATATATTCACATTTATACACATTTATTATTAAACACCATTTCTTTATTCTTCAATCTTATAAAACAATTAAAAATCTAAGTATTGCTCTATTTCGATAGACTCTTAAGTATCTAAAGTTGATTGATACACATGTCAGTTTCACAGCAAGACATATTAATTTTTTGTTGTTGTTCCGATGGCTTTGAAACGTGAAGTTTAACTTTATTTTTCGAAATACCAAAATACGACACACACTAGCCTAGCCTGTGTCACTTATGTACATGTATATCTAGGCCACCTTGTACATTCGGTTCGAATTATGATCATCCAAACTTCTGGTTGAAACCGAACCAGCGGTTCGAATCCTGATTCAATTGAACTTCCGAAGCGAATCATGATTCATCCAGACTTCCGGTACGAATCATGATTCATCAAAACTTCCGGTGCGAATCGTGATTCATCAATAATTTCAATGCGAATCATGGCTCATTAAAACTTCCAGTGCGATTCATGATTCCTCCAAACTTCCGGTACGAATCATGATCCATCCGAACTTCCGGTGTGAATCATGATCCATCCGAACTTCCGGTGTGAATCATGATTCATCAAAACTTCCGGTGCGAATCACGATTCATCCAGCAATTTTCACTGCCAAGAGTGTTGCATTTCGATGCTCACTGCTGACCCCCCCCCCCGCCTTTCAACAAACACCAGGCAAAACCAAAATTTAAGCAGAACGAATTCAAAATTATAAGCGTATGCAGGTTAAAGGTTAAAATGCTCACGTGACGAAAGACAGACTTACCACGCAGACGAAATTTCACCTTGTGGAAGCCAAGGTTGACCTTGAAAGTATGATGCAGGCAGCACTTACAACTGTAGTGCTTACAATGACAGCTGACGCTCGAGTGGTGGTGGTGATGGTGATGATGATGATGATGATGGTGGTGGTGGTGGTGGTGATGATGATGATGATGATGATGATGGCGTTCTATCTCACTTGATTCTAAAAAAAGAAAAAAAAAGAGATGAAGTACCACTAGTTATTACACATAAACGAAAAACCTTGAAAAAGGTTACAAAACTACAAAAATTACAAAATAGTTACAATACCCCATGTGCTTTATCTATAAATAAACAATAGTTATTATATACTTATTCAAATACTAGTATGCTAAATGCGAGTCCTCTCATTGCATACTAGTATTGAAAACTACCAACATTGTCAAGATTTACAAAAATCATTATAATTATAATAAAAACATAATTCTGCTTAAAGTGGGATTCTTACCCATTTAACCTGAATGAGGATAATACCCGAGCTTCCAGCCCCGTACCGCATAAACAGGACAATATATGAAATAAAACAATGTGATACTAAAATAAAAAATTGCACACTAGTATGTGGCAAAACCGAAGGGTAAAAAATGGAAACACTCCCTCCTGATCGAAGGACAGGGATTATATTCGACAACCGTGCTAGATATAAATTCTGACCTACCTGCAGGACGTTTTATCAGACCAAGTTTGTCTGCTAAAAATTCCAAATCGAGTTCATCATCCGGGCCACCAGGCAAATTAATGACGTCATCATCTTCTTCGCTCTCAGTGTCTCCATATGGCTCGGTTTCAACGTCTGTAAAATAAAAACAAAAAATGTCAAGGAGGTGAGTTTAGATTTTTACTTAAAATGTCAGTGTATAATCATAACTGCATTAAAAAAAAATCTTATGACCCCAACAACACAATTGCGCCAAATGACGTTTGAAATTTTGACTTTACCGGGACATCATGGATATACATGGTACATAACACAACTTATATCGTTATCGTCTTTTCGTCTTGTCGATTGCGACAACACGATAAAGTGCCAAACGGCGCGTTGTCGCGCTGTCGTTTTGCCGTCCTGTATCTAGCGAAGCACACCAAACGGTGCATTGTCGTGCAGCGCGTTGTCGCGAAGTCGTCCTGTCGCTTGGCTTATAAGCCAAGGATTTAGCTCAATACAGGATTGGAGCAGTACCTCTAGACGCTTGCAGAAATCATGATCACAAAATAGACAAATATCGTTTTTTTCGCCGATTTTTACATTTTTTCTTGATTATCGTACTTGATTCGGTGTGAAAAGATGAATTAGACCTGTTAAAGTTCATTCCGTTGGGTAAAAAGACAAGAATGTATCATTAGACAAACTCCATAGTGAAGTTCCTTGGGAATCCTTAGAATCTCGAAGAAATAATCATATGCTTATCTTACTTTATAAAATGAAAAATGGCTTAACACCAGATTACTTGTGTTCTTTACTTCCACCTACTGTAGGCGAAAATTCAAGGTACGATCTACGCAATGCTACAAATATTCAGACTTTTCGAACACGAACTACTCTTTATCAAAATGCTTTTCTTCCAACTGCTCTGAATAAATGGAACGCCCTTCCAACTGAAGTGCAAAATTTACGTTCACTGTTTGCTTTCAAATCCCATTTGAGACGAAGCAGCTCTAGTTGTCCGATTTATTTCTATGAAGGCGATAGAAAATGGCAGATCTTTCATGCTCGACTTCGTACTGAATGTAGTTCACTAAATCAGCATCTATTTAAGAAAAATATTTCTCCATCTCCACTTTGTCAGTGTGGCATAGTGGAAAGTAATTACCACTTTTTCTTTGAATGTCATCGCTATGCTGACAGCAGGGCCTCTTTTCTTAACAGCTATATCTACTATTTGTTCAGCAACTCTCCAAAAGTTATTAAATGGAGACCCAAACATTAGTGATGATGCAAACAGAAGACTGTTTGAAGCCGTTCATACCATACATCCGAGAAAGCAGGAGATTCTCTTAAGCATATTCACATCAGCTCAAATCAATAAATACTTCCCATCTAAATCGCCGAACTATCGCGAATGATCCACATTTAATTTATTTCTTCTTCTTTTCTATTTTGCTGAAAGCTTCTTACTTCATTTCATTTCTATCTTAATTTACGTTATTTCTCTTTAATTTTATATAACAAATGATGCAGTCTTGTATTCTCATTCATTTTTTTGTATTAATATTTGCTTTACATTATAACTAAATGTTAGAAACAATTTTGACTTTAACTTCTTAAAAAAAATGTAAAATCAGATATATTTCAAGCAAGTCACATATACTGTCATACCGTATTTTATGCATTGTAAATCTATAAGGAGAAGGCCTTTATAAGCTCAGCTTTCGGACCCAATCCTTTTTCAGCATATTATGTTTGTATTGTGTACATTATTGTCTGTATATATATTGTGAATTTGTTCGAAATAAACTATGTTTAAACTAAAAGACAAGATTTTAGCATTTTATCATTCAAGCGCCTTGTCCGGTATATACCGGAATACGGTATTTAGTGTGGTGCTCCAATCCTTTTTTTAGTCACAGCCATAAGCCAATCCTTCAATTTGAACCGAGTGTCAATGTGACATCTCGACAACACGCCGCACAACAATGCGCCGTTTTGCGTACATCGTTAGCGACCGGACGACAAGACGAAAGTCCGACAACGCGCTGTTTGGCACTTTGTCCTGTTGTCGCTAGCGCCAACACGACGAACAAAAGTAGGCACCATACATAATCTTAAAATAATTGAATTTCTTACGTAGATAACCTTGGGCAGTTTAAACAGAACTATATACAAAATTAAACATTATACACAGACAATATTGTAAATCGTATTGACCCTATTTTAGTGAAAAGCGTTACAATGCCTTTCAAGTTTAGGCCAGTTTTCACTAATGTTATATAAATATGCACATTAAAGTAAATTTGTTATGAGAAATAGTATCAACTGAATTTATGACAATGAATTAAAAAAGCAGAAATGTGTTTTAATACTGACTTAATTAAAAAAAAGAAGAATATAATTCATTTGTTATATACTTTATCAAAATACATGTATTTTAACCCTTTATCTCCCGATTGTGAGGACTTTTCAAAGGGACACCACTATGGTATATCTGACTTTCAAGACGGCAGTTGAAATCTTTTTTTCCCAAACTTTTGTGTTTCATTTAAGAATCTCATGACCAATCACTTGTGTACAAATTTTCATTTCCAGAATAATTGTTTAAAGTGTGCAAAAGGACCCAAGAAACTAAAAGCGTTGCAAACACTTTTCACAAAATAATGCTTAGAATCGCAAAACAAATCAATATTCGATTTAATTATGAGCATATTTCATTAAATTTAAATGTCTTCTGCTGATTTTTTTTTCAGTTTTAATTTTTTTTCATTTTTTCTATGTAAGAATTTCAAATTTCATGTGTTCATCATGCTTTGTCCTTAGAAGAGATCATTTTCTTTTTTACAATAGTATAAGTGCCGCTAGATTAAATTACGTTTTTGCAAGCATGACATTATTTTCTTCAAATTTACAGAAATGTTTACAATTCTGGAGATGCGCTACTATAAAATAATTACCTGTTACATAATCTTTGATTAGTTCAAAGAATTCGGCGTTCGTTATAAAACCTGTATCCAAATTCTTAGCACGCGCAGGCGCAACAACAATCGCGCAGCATGCAGAAAAAAATTAAAGCGCGCATGTTCGGACGTGAAAGCAGCGGCTTCATTAGTAAGCTATGATATGCCCGAGTTTTCGCGGCTTATATATTTAATATACTTTTCACCATTTAAGTTTCCCGGGAACGAAAATGAAATTAAGGGCAACAATAGCCAATATATGTCTTTATTTAAGACGCCGGGATGGCAATCTCTTTTTCCAATCACTTACTGCGCCACAGATATTAATCTAACCCAATACGTTTGCAATGATCTAAAAGGACTTTCAAGAAATTTAAAGTGAAGCAAACTGGCCTGTTTGGGCAAATATGGTTTAAGGAATTGGAAAAGTCTGAAACTGAAAAAAAAATAGTATGAGGAGTTTTATCGTTTAAATATCAATGCTAGTTTGTGAGTTTTATTTATTCTATGTTTATCTGTCAAAATTATCACTTACAGGTGTTTTACATTGAAAAATAAAAGTGTGATAAAAACATATACGAGTTCATGAATGTTTTTATAAGATGAAAAATGATTAATTTATTCAGAAACATAGCTAACTTTTGGTCGGCATTTAATGTATATATACATATATTTACTGAAAATGTATGAGGCAACAGTTACATTCTCATTGACCTCATGTTATAAACCCGGATTCGATCTTTATCGATTTTTGATAATCAATTAATTGACGAGTCGGTCAGTACAGAAGGGTGTCGCTTAAGTTGTTATTTCCTCATAAATTTGAATGAAACTTGACTTTACAATAAGTTTCCGAACGATTAATAAAGGGGAAATACAGAAAGTACATATGAGCCGCGCCATGACAAAACCAATATAAAATGGGTTTGCGACCAGCATGGACCCAGACCAGCCTGAGCATCCGCGCACCTGATCAGGATCCATGCTGTTCGCTATCAAATTTCTCTACTTGTTATAGGGTTTGTAAGCGAACAGCATGGATCCTGATCAGACTGCGCGGATGCGCAGGCTAGTCTGGATCCATGCTGGTCGCAAACGCATTATGTTGGTTTTGTCGTGACGCGGCTCATATTTTATAAATGCCGGCAGTGGAAGGTTAAACAACTGTATGATATACATGTACCTACTGATATATACAAATATTGCTTAGTTTAAACAAATTTATTTCATCTGGATTGTGATAAAAACGAACTTCTTTCAACCAAATGTCTAGTTTGCAAAACTGGTACGTGACATATACAAAACATGGGCGAACCGAAGGCTCATAAACACTCGGCTGGGAGGCAGATCATGATCAATCACAACGAATGTGACCTGCGCCGTCCGGGAATCGAACTGGATTGCTCGATTCATAGTCCAACGCTCTACTTTTGAAACTATTCATTTAATTATCTTTATTCATGCAACTTATCAGCACATAGTTTTCGGGGATTGATATCAATCACTCTAAAGGTAACTTACATAGCGTGAAATGTCCTAGCCAACATTGCAACAATGATACGTATGTGAGAAGTTAGCAGTTAACAGTGCGCTAAGCAAAAATGCATTATGAGTTATATAGGGAAATCAATGATCTGCTGTTATGCTCAGCTGGGTAAGCAATCTAGCAGGGCATTCCAAAATAAAATGTAGAAATGCATTTGCTCGTATGCTCAGCTGGGTAAGCAATCTAGCAGGCCATTACTAAATAAAGTATAAAAATGCTCTGCTGGTATGCTCAGCTGGCTAGGTAATCTAGCGGGGCGTTCCAAAATATAGCTTAAAAATCCTCTGCTGGTATGCTCAGCTGGCTAGGCAATCTAGCAGGGCATTCCTAAATATAGTGTTAAAAATTTTACTCTGCCTGTTATACTCAGCTGACTAAGCAATCAAGCGGGGCATTCCAAAAATATAGTGTTAAAAGCTCTGTTGTTATGCTCAGCTGGCTAAGCAATCTAGCTGGACATTCCAAAATATAGTGTAAAAATGCTCTGCTGTTATGCTCAGCTGGCTTAGCAATCTAGCGGGGCATTCCAAAATATAGTGTAAAAATGCTCTGCTGTTATGCTCAGCTGGCTAAGCAATCTAGCGGGGCATTCCAAAATATAGTGTAAACATGATCTGCTGGTATGCTCAGCTGGCTAGGCAATCTAGCAGGGCATTCCTTAATAAAGTGTAAAAATGCTTAGCTGTTATGCTCAGCTGGCTAAGCAATCTAGCGGGACATTCCAAAATATAGTGTAAAAATGCTCTGCTGAATTGCTCAGCTGGCCAGGCAATCTAGCAGGGCATAAAAAAGTGTTAAAAATGCTCAGCTGGCTAGGCAATCCAGCAGAGCATTTCTAAATATTGTGTAAAAATGCTCTGTTGGCAGCTTAGCTTGGCTAAGCAAATCTAGCAGAGCGTTAAAAATTATATGGCGAAAAATGCTCTGCTGGTATGCTCAGCTAGCCTAAGCAAAGTCCAGCAAGGGGGCAAATCCTTAAATATAGCAGTATTAAAAATTAGCTCAGGATGGCTAGGCAATCCAGCAAAGCATTCTGAAAATTAGTGTAAAAATGTTCTGCCGGAATGCTGAGCTGTCTAGGCAAAGTAGCAGGGCATTCTTAAATAAAGTATAAATTTCGTTGGTCTGCAACTGATTATTTGGCATTCGTAGACTTTCTGAAATATTTAGTGCCAATGCAGATAATGACATTTTTGACTTCTACGGGACCCTCTATTTCTTTGGTCTCCGACTGATTCTGGGACGATCGCAGACTTTCAGGAATTTTTGGTGTTAATGCAGATAATGACATTTGTGAATTTTTAGGACCATACAGAGTCCATTTCGTTGGTCTGCGAATGTTTCTGGAACACTCGCAGACTTTCAGAAATGTTCGGTGCCAATGGAGATAATGACATTTTTACTTCAAAAGGACCCGCCTGAGTCTATTTCGTTGGTCTGCGACTGATTCTGAGTCACTCGCAGACTTTCAGTAATTAAGGTGTCAATGCAGAAAATGATATTTCTGACTTATTGGGACCTTTCTGAATCCACTTTTTTGGTCTGCGACTGATTCTGAGGCACTGACAGACTTTCAGGGATTGTTGATGTCAAGGCAGATAATGACATTTTTTTACTTCTAGGGACCATCCAGGATCCATTTTTCTTGGTCTGCGACTTAATCTTGGACAGTCACAGACTTTCAGGAATTGTTGGTGCCAATAGAGATAATTACAATTTATAACATTTTTGACCATCTATTTCGTTGGTCTGCGACTGATTATTGGGCACTTGCAGACTTTCAGGAATTTTTGGTGCTAATGCAGATAATGACATTTTAGGGTGAAAATGCTCTGCTTATGACTTAGGGGTCCTTAAAAGTAAAAAAAGTCATGATCTGCAATGGCACTAAACATCCTGAAAGTCTGCGAGTCTCAAGGAATCAGTCACAGACCCAAGAAATATACTCTGGCGGTTCCCTAAAAGTCAGAAATGTCATTATCTCCATTGGCATCAAAATTCCTGAAAGTCTGCAAGTGACCCAAAATCAGTCGCAGACCAGCGAAATGAACTCTGATTAGTCGCTAGAAGTCAAAAATGTCATTATCTCCATTGGCACCAGAGATTCCTGAAAGTCTGCGAATGTCCAAGAATCAGTCGCAGACCATAAAAATGGACTCTGGCGGGTCCCTAGAAGTAAAATTGCCATCATCTCTTTTCGCACCAAACTTTCCTTAAAGTCTGCGAGTGTCCAACAATACGCTGCAGGTCAATGAAATGGACTCTTAAAGGTCCCTAGAAGTCAAAAATATGATTATTTCCATTGGCACCAAACATTCCTGAAAGTCTGCGAGTGTCCAAGAATCAGTCGCAGACGACCAAAATGGACTCTTCAGGGTCCTTAGAAGTCGATATTGTCAATATCAGCATTGGCACCAAAATTCCTGAAAGTCTGCGAGTGTCCTTCAAAAAGTCGCAGGACACTGAAATAGTCTCTTAAAAGTCCTTAGAAGTCAAAAATATCATTATTTCTATTGGCACCGAAAATTCCTGAAAGTCTGCGAGTGCCTCAGAATTTCCTAGAAGTCGAAAATGACAATAAAACTTTGGCAACAATAAATCCTGAAACTCAGAATCAGTCTGCCAACTGAGCATTCCACCAGAGCATTTTTTAACTATATTTCGGAATGCCCTGCTAGATTTCCTAGCCAGCTTAGCATTCCACCAGAGCATTTTTACCCCATATTTAGTAATGCCCTGCAAGATTGCCTAGCCAGCTGAGCATTCCATCAGAGCATTTTTTCACTATATTAAGGAATGCTCTGCTATTGTGCCTAGCCAGCTGAGCATTCCTGCAGAGCATTTTAACACTTTATTTAGTAATGCCCTGCTACATTGCCTAGCCAGCTTAGCATTCCAGCAGAGCATTTTACACTATATTTCGTATTGCCCTGCTAGATTGCCTAGAAGCTTAGCATTCCACCAGAGCATTTTTTAACTATATTTAGGAATGCCCTGCTAGATTGTCTAGCTAGCTTAGCATTCCAGCAGAGCATTTTTACACTGTATTAAGTAATGTCCTGCTAGATTGTGTACCCAGCTTAGCATTCCAGCAGGGCATTTTTACACTATATTTAGTAATGCTCTGCTAGATTGCCTAGCCAGCTTAGCATTCCACCAGAGCATTTTTTCACTATATTTAGGAATGCTCTGCTAGATTTGCCTAGCCAGCTTAGCATTCCAGCAGAGCATTTTTACACTATATTTATTAATGCCCTGCTAGATTGCCTAGCCAGCTTAGCATTCCAGAATAATATTTGTACACTGTATTTAGTAATGTCCTGCTAGATTGCCTAGCCAGCTTAGCATTCCAGCAGAGCATTTTTACACTATATTTAGTAATGCCCTGCTAGATTGCCTAGCCAGCTTAGCATTCCAGCAGAGCCTTTTCTCACTATATTTAGTAATGCCCTGCTAGATTGCCTAGCCAGCTTAGCTAGCCAGCTGAGCATTCCAGCAGAGCATTTTAACACTATATTTAGTAATGCACTGCTTGATTGCCAGGCCAGCTGAGCGTTCCAGCAGAGCATTTTTTCACTAAAGC